TTTCTTTAAATTTAAAGTTGATTTTGATGCAGAAGGTGGTGGGCTTAGAGCTTTGAGTGTGGGCCAACAGTGACGTAGTTATGGGAGTTGGATTTTAAGGAGGCCCCGTATGAAGAAGGTTATGGAAATTCCTATACAAGAGAGATAACTATTTCGGATGAAATCCATTCCTCCGGCCACAACCATGGTACCTGTTGTAGCTCTTGCGAAAATTTTTGTTCATTAAAAAATGCTGATCAATAAATTTTCCCAATTGTGTTATTGTCAAAATATAGAATAATTTTTTTATTACTCTAAATTGCCGAACAAAAAAATAGTAAACCCCATTCTGTAGGTGTACATAGAGAAATCAACTAAGAGAAATTTGTTGTGTGTGTATATTTCGTCTTGGCGGAAACCTTACAAATATCGAATCGATTGCATGTCAACTAATTTAATTACACCTTACATATCAACCAACCATCTGATTGTAATCTCCATTAAAATTCAATTCGTTGCGGTGTGACGTCTGTTAGATCAATGAAATTCTGTATTTAATTGGCAATGAAATGTCAAATGTCAATTATAGAATATGTTTTTTTTTTATTTCTAGTAGAGCACTTCGTCAAGTGTTGGTTTTGCATTTAATTGAGGGAAACATATAGATAATAAATAAAAAACCAATTATCAATCAAATGTCAGAAAAATTACATACTCAGGTAAAGGGGTATTGAATGAGAAATTGCAACAAGTAACAATGTCATTAAACACAGTCCAACCGAGCTTTTTATATTCTGAAACATGGGGAAGCAAAAAAAAAAAACGTTACGTCGGTCCAAAAAATTCAGAATATCTATAATCGATCGATGCTTCTATATATGGGTAGTTTGGAAACTTGATGGGCTAGGAACTTGAACATACATACCAAATTTCCAAAGATTTGAAACACAATTTTTCGTATAACGACTTGGCTCCCAACTGAAAAGCGTTTCCGAAATTACCTACATATCGAATATTGGGATGTGCAGTTATTTTGAGGGCTTTACCAAAACTAGAACCGATAAATCTCATATTCAATATAAAACATTCTAGGAATAGTATGTTCACAATTTAAAAGCTAAATATTTAGTGCATTGCCAATGGTGACTAATTTGATGAAATGGCGCCCAACAGAAAATGCCATAAAATTAGGTTGGGCTTTTTTCAAATTGATATAATTTTTTAAATGTATTTATTAGAATAGAACTCATGAATCCATATCATCCCATGACATATCCCTAAATTGAAAAAAGTGGCGCCCAACAGAAATTGTCGTTTGTTAATGAGTAAAGTGTTATCTCCTAGGAAATGTTTTCATGTTCTAGTGAAACAAATCTAATAAAGTGGCGCCCTTAAAAAAAGGGACAATTGTCAATGGTTATATGGCAAATTCAAAAATTCAGTTTTCAAAAAAAAAAAAAAAAAATATCGAAAAAAAATATTTCCTTAAATATTTATCTTAAATATTATTAAATATAAATTTAAATTATTTAACATTTTCATAAAATTTTATTTTCGTTTCTCAATATTTTATATCGTAGAACCAATCATGTATCCATGTCATCTCATAACACGAGGCTAAACTTTCCGTCCCTTAGACTTAAAGACGCCTCCACATAATGAGGAACACTTTTTAGCCCACATGTCTGGCAATGATAAAACGAAAAACGGAACATGACACCCAAATGTTAACTTGGGTATGTTCCGCTATTTAATTTTACAACTGTGTGATGTGATGTCGGTATCAGAGTAAATTTCATTGTGTAAGTTCTCCTATTACTCTCTCTATTCAGATTGGATTTAGAAAAGTGTGGCATTAAAAAATATATAATTTTTTTCAATGGCAACATTAGGTGGGGATTTATTACAATAGGCGTGGATTTATTAAAAATTGTTTTTTCAAGGATCACAATGGATGTGGAGGCATGGATTGATCAAAAAATATTTTGTCAAGGATCATAATGAATGTGGAGGCATTGATTGACTAAAAAATATTTTTCAAGGATCACAATAGGCGTGGATTTATTAAAAATTAATTTTTCAAAGATCACAATGGATGTGGAGGCCTTAATTGATTACAATTTTTTTCAGAATGGATATGGAGGCATGGATTAATTAAAAAAAAAATTCAAGGATCACAATGGATATGGAGGCATGGATTGATTGAAAAATATTTTTTTCAAGGATCACAATGGATGTGGAGGCCTTAATTGATTGCAATTTTTTTCAAAATGTATATGGAGGCATGGATTGATTAAAAAAAATCAAGGATCACAATGAATGTGTGTCACGATGGATGTGGAGTCCTTGATTGTTTAAAAAAATTTCAAGGATCACAATGGAGGCATGGATTGATTAAATAACATTTTTTTGAGGGTAACAATGGTGTGGCTTTAAACAAATCAAGGGCTCGCATGGGGGCATGGATTGCTTAATTTTTTTCGAAGAGAGCAATAGATTTGGATTTAAAAACAGTAAGGAAAATTCAAAAGTCGAACGGGGCCGACTATATGATACCCTTCACCACTTTGGGTGCATACAAGAGATGTTAACATCTACAATATACTGTGATAGAACAGACATAGAATCTTTGGAGGACCATTGAGATGGAATTGGGCGAAATTAAATGTGCTATCGAGATAGATATTTGAACCAATTGAAAAAAACCCCATTCACATACCATTCTGAAATCAATGATGTACCATTTGCATGAAATCGAGTAAAATTACGTATGAGAGCTATAATAAACACATGGACCTAATTAAGCAACCGTTGCATACACCATTTGTTTTTGGTTATCACTCTATATTGAATTTAATATTAATACCCTTGAGACCAACACAGGCCCTTCGGTGTACGAACGAATATATATATATATATATATATAAGACCTATATAAATATCTGAACCGATTTCAACAAACCTTAGCACACATCATTTTTTCCTCGATTACATTCGCTATGCAAAATGTTGTCCCAATCAGACACATATTGGGAGTTTGGTGTATCATTCACAAAAAATCGGTCGAAACTATATATATCTAAATCTGAACTGATTTTAACTGATTTTAACAAAATTTTGTCCCAATCGGACAAATATTGCTAGTTGTGTATCATTCACAAAAAATCGGCCGAAATTATATATGGGGGCTATATCTAAATCTGAACCGATTTTCTGCAAATTCAATAGGGTTCGTCCTTGGGCTAAATATGTGAACTGTACCAAATTTCATCCAAATCGGATCATAAATACGACCTGTACATTGTCCACAAAAATACATGGACGGACGGACCTGCGTAAATAGACTCAGAAAGTGATTCTATGCATATTCTCAAAAGGAACCATGGGTCTATCTCGATTCCTTTTGCACAAACATAGGCACAAAGACATAATACCTTGTATCACAGTGTGGTGCAGGGTATACAAATAGTTTTTCAAAGGCAGCAATAGGTGTTTATTTTTTAAAATAGTTTTTTCATAGATGTGGATTTAAACAAAAATATATTTTGTTGTTTATTTACATAAAGTTTAAAAATTCCTATATATTTTTACCACAGTTATTCACCCACGCTCTTTTTTTTTGTTAAAGAAATGGATATCAACTGTATCCACTTCAAGGGAAATATAGCTCCCCTCAATTATGAACGTATATATTTTATTTATAGAAACATACAATTTATTTCCCCTTGTGGTTTTTGGTTTTACGTTGAGGTTAATGATATAACTGCTCTATAGAAAGAGCGACATGTTTAAACCTGAACATAATACAACAGTATTAAGTAAATGAGAAACTGTTGGATAACAAATTACTCAAATTGTATTTCCTATTATATATAAATATATATAATACATAAATATATAACACAAAAAGATACACCTTTAAGAAATATAAAACGTCATAAAAGTCAAGACAAAAGCAGCTCATGACGTTTGATGGGTATTAGTTTAATATTTACTGTAATATACCGATTTGTTGTGTGTATTAGTTTGTGCTCCTTATTAATGAATATTATTTTCTGTCTGGCTCCATTGAAAAAATATAAAATATATTTAAAATTGAACCTTCACAAAAAATTTCTCCTTGAGACCAATTAAGGCTTTTATATTACGTTGGGCGCCAAATTTTCAAAATAAAAATTGTAGAAAAAATTATTTATGAATTAAAAATTGGAGTATTTTTTGGACCTCTTCCCGACATGATATTAGAATTCCAATGGAAATTGTTCCTTTTATTCATAAATATTAGAAACAATTATTTATGAATTAAAAAATTTTAATATTTTTTGGACTTCTTTTCCGACATGATATTAGAGTTCCAATGGAAATTGTTCCTTATTCAAATCTAGTATTTTATGTTGGGCGCCATTTTTTTTTTCAAATTTACTTAACAAATGTATTTTTAATAAATAATTCCATTATTTGTAAATGTGGACACTCCGTCCCATATATAGTTTTACCAAATAAAGGCTTCCATTTTCAGTTGGGCGCCTCTTCTTTCATATTAGTCACAATAATGATTTTCAATACAATTGAACACATGATTTAATATCTTACTCAACTAAATCCAGAAGTTTTTTGTTTATATCAAATATTTATCCAGAAGTTACGACTCTTTCTTATCGCCCACAAAAAAATTGTTGTTACTTTTTAATTTAATCATCAAAATTTCAAAGTCAGCGCATATGCACGTGATTTATTACGAAAACAATTCACAGTAAATAAATGATTAATAAAATATATTTAAAAAGTGCAGCATATTATCTAAAAAGAAGAAGAAGAACCCGAAAACTTGAACAAAGATATAAATTAATCCGCTTATCTAGCAATGAAGCAGAAGATAAGCCAGTAAATATTCAAATGGTCATCGAAAAATATTTTCCCAAAAATTTCGAAGGGAATTAGTTTGAAAAATTGAAGCACAAGAGCTGGTCCGATCAAAGGGGAAAATATATAAAAATTAAAAAAGGCTAAAAAACGAAAAGAATGGATTTGGAGGGTAAACATGTTGTCTATGTGGCCGATTGTGGTGGTATTGCCTATGAGACATGCAAAGTTTTGGTGACCAAGAAAATTGCGGTATTGAAAAAAAATATTCCCTAAAAATCCGAAACAAAAATAATTCCCAAACATTTATTTCAGAAATTAGCAATGCTGCACAGCGTTGAAAATCCCCAGGCGATTGCCCAGTTGCAGGCTTTGAACCCTAAAACTCAAATTTTCTTTTGGAAATTTGATTTCACAATGTCGAGGGAAGAAATGCAACGCTACTTTGAAGATGTTATGATGCAAATGGATTATATTGATATCATGGTAAATGGTTCGACGTTGTGTAAGGAACAGGATATCGAAGCTACGATAAATATCAATTTGACAGCACCCATAAATATTATCAGTTGTGCCATGGCCTATATGGATAAAAATAAAGAGGCGGGGCGTGGTGGTATGATTGTTAATATTAGCTCGGTTACGGGTTTGGATCCATCGCCCGTCTTTTGTGTCTATAGTGCAGCGAAATTTGGCGTAATTGGTTTTACAAGGAGTTTGGCGGTGAGTGAGAGACAAAAAATAAAAACATCAAGAAATTAAAAATATATTCTTTAAAAAATCTATGGCTTATATGGGCCTTGAAAACATTTTCTTTACAAAATCTATGCCTTACATAGGCGTGGAAAAAATATTCTTTAAAAAATCCACACATTATATATAGGCGTGGAAATTTTTTTTAAAAAAATCCACACCTTATTTATAGGCGTGGAAAAATTTTTTTTTAAAAAATCCACGCCTTATATAGGCCTTGAAAATATATTCTTTAAAAAATCCATGCCATATAGACGCCTTGAAAAAATATCCACGCCTTATATAGGCCTTGAAAAAATATTCTTTAAAAAATCCATGCCATATAGACGCCTTGAAAAAATATCCACGCCTTATATAGGCCTTGAAAAAATATTCTTTAAAAAATCCATGCCATATAGACGCCTTGAAAAAATATCCACGCCTTATATAGGCCTTGAAAAAATATTCTTTAAAAAATCCACGCCTTATATAGGCCTTGAAAAAATATTCTTTAAAAAATCCACGCCTTATATAGGCCTTGAAAAAATATTCTTTAAAAAATCCACGCCTTATATAGGCCTTGAAAAAATATTCTTTACAAAATTCACGCCTTATATAGGCCTTGAAAAAATATTCTTTAAAAAATCCACGCCTTATATAGGCCTTGAAAAAATATTCTTTAAAAAATCCACGCCTTATATAGGCCTTGAAAAAATATTCTTTAAAAAATCCACGCCTTATATAGGCCTTGAAAAAATATTCTTTAAAAAATCCACGCCTTATATAGGCCTTGAAAAAATATTCTTTAAAAAATCCACGCCTTATATAGGCCTTGAAAAAATATTCTTTAAAAAATCCACGCCTTATATAGGCCTTGAAAAAATATTCTTTAAAAAATCCACGCCTTATATAGGCCTTGAAAAAATATTCTTTAAAAAATCCACGCCTTATATAGGCCTTGAAAAAATATTCTTTAAAAAATCCACGCCTTATATAGGCCTTGAAAAAATATTCTTTAAAAAATCCACGCCTTATATAGGCCTTGAAAAAATATTCTTTAAAAAATCCACGCCTTATATAGGCCTTGAAAAAATATTCTTTAAAAAATCCACGCCTTATATAGGCCTTGAAAAAATATTCTTTAAAAAATCCACGCCTTATATAGGCCTTGAAAAAATATTCTTTAAAAAATCCACGCCTTATATAGGCCTTGAAAAAATATTCTTTAAAAAATCCACGCCTTATATAGGCCTTGAAAAAATATTCTTTAAAAAATCCACGCCTTCTATAGGCCTTGAAAAAATATTCTTTAAAAAATCCACGCCTTATATAGGCCTTGAAAAAATATTCTTTAAAAAATCCACGCCTTATATAGGCCTTGAAAAAATATTCTTTAAAAAATCCACGCCTTATATAGGCCTTGAAAAAATATTCTTTAAAAAATCCACGCCATATATATAGGCCTTGAAAAAATATTCTTTAAAAAATCCACGCCTTATATAGGCCTTGAAAAAATATTCTTTAAAAAATCCACGCCTTATATAGGCCTTGAAAAAATATTCTTTAAAAAATCCACGCCTTATATAGGCCTTGAAAAAATATTCTTTAAAAAATCCACGCCTTATATAGGCCTTGAAAAAATATTCTTTAAAAAATCCACGCCTTATATAGGCCATGAAAAAATATTCTTTAAAAAATCCACGCCTTATACAGGCCTTGAAAAAATATTCTTTAAGAAATCCACGCCTCTTGTAGGCCTTGAAAAATTTTCTTTAAGAAATCCACGCCTCTTGTAGGCCTTGAAAAATATTCTTTAAGAAATCCACGCCTCTTGTAGGCCTTGAAAAAATATTCTTTAAGAAATCCACGCCTCTTGTAGGCCTTGAAAAAATATTCTTTAAGAAATCCACGCCTCTTGTAGGCCTTGAAAAAATATTCTTTAAGAAATCCACGCCTTATATAAGCCTTGAAAAAATATTCTTTAAGAAATCCACGCCTTATATAGGCCTTGAAAAAATATTCTTTAAAAAATCCACGCCTTATGTAGGCCTTAAAAAAATATTCTTTAAAAAATCCACGTCTTATATAGGTCTTGAAAAAATATTCTTTAAAAAATCCACGTCTTATATAGGCCTTGAAAAAATATTCTTTAAAAAATCCACGCCTTATATAGGCCTTGAAAAAATATTCTTTAAAAAATCCACGCCACTTGTAGGCCTTAAGAAAATATTCTTTAAAAAATCCACGCCTATTGGCAGACTCTGAAAAAATATTCTTTAAAAAATATACCTTAAAAAATATGTATCAAAAGACCCCTCTTCACGGTCTTTTAAAAAAATATTCTACTGTATGATCTTCCATTTCTTGTGTCCGCCTTTTTCTTTATCTGCACTATTGATTTCACACATCCTCCATTTTTCATTACCATATAAAGCAGAAGGAAGATGACAACAATTCCATACAAAACTTCTTGCAAATACTTTATTTGTATTTCTCTATGTGTGTGTATGTGTGCATGTGTGTCTTATTGTCAGATTACTATCAAACATAATTTCTAATCTTATATGGCAGTTCCAATGCATCGTCCAACTCATCTAACGACCACACCACATTTACACTATATATCTTCTTCTCCGGCTATCTATCCATCCATCTATGTACCTTTCTAACTTCCATTCTGATGTTGTTGTTTTTTTTCTTCTGTTCTCTTCTCTTCCAGCATCCCATCTATTATGAGAAAACCGGTGTGGCTGTCATGGCCATTTGTTGTGGTCCTACCAAGACATTTGTCCGGCATACGATGAAAGCATTTTTGGAATATGGTCAAGAGTATGTGGATAAATTAAAAGGGGCACCGTGTCAAGAAACCGCAGTGTGTGCACGCAATATAGTGCGGGCCATCGAAATGGGTTCAAATGGACAAATATGGCTGGCCGATAATGAACGTTTGGATATTGTTAAGCCGCAGCTCTATTGGAAAATGTCCGCGGAACTTGTTGAGTATATGGAGCGTTAAGCGGGACAAGAGCGAGGTATGAACGCTGCTGTTGTGGCTGCTGCTCAAAAGGGAATACGGAAATGGTTGATGGAAAATGTGTTGCCAATGAATGAGTGATGATGCTGATGCTCTCTGTGTGTCTTATGTTAAGGTCAATAAACTTGGAAAACCTCAATGCGTTTTTATTTTCATGATGTCGCCGTGGTTGCTCGTCGTCGTTGTTGTTTTTATTATTATGTCAAGCATATGTCTCGGTTTTCTTTTCTTGGTTGTTTCCCTCTGCATTTTCACATTTGCTAAAAATATTACAAACTTCCCACCCTCCTCACCTCTGGAAAAGCCGAAAAGAGCGCCAAGCGAACCCCAGCGCACCGCATATTGTGTGCTGTAAGCGAAATCACTTAAAAATAAACTTTTGGCATACATTCAAGAAAAAATAGTTTCGGCTTTATTTTTCTTATTTCTTTCCGAAAATTGTTGCGGTTCTTCTGAGGCCATACACGAGTAGAAGATGCCATGAGTTATGGTTTGTTTGGTTTTCTATTCGGCTTTCTAGGTATTTTCACTAATTTTTCGGGGGAGCTCCCTGATTGGCCAAGCGTAAATGCAAGTGTGGCTGCCATCATCATCATCACCAACATCACGCCAGCCGAATTTCGTATATTAGGAAATGCAATTAAGCCATTCTATGGCTATAAACATGCCAGGCGCTAGAAGAGCACACAAATAAACAAACAACAATTCGGATGGGGGACACACTTTTTCTTGGGAATAATGCCAAATGGATGTCAAAAGCTAAAAAAAAATAATAGAAGCATAGGCAAAGATATTTTCGAAAGGCGTGGATTTTTTAAGGAATATTTTTTCTTGGGCTACAATAGGCGTGGATTTTTTAAAGAATATTTTTTCAAAGCCTATATAAGGCGCCGATTTTTTAAAGAATATTTTTCGAGGCCTATATAAGGCGTGGATTTTCTTAAAGAATATTTTTTCGAGGCCTATATAAGGGGTGGATTTTTTAAAGAATATTTTTTCAAGGCCTATATATAAGGCGTGGATTTTTTAAAAAATATTTTTTCAAGGCCTATATAAGGCGTGGATTTTTTTAAAGGTATTTTTCAAGGCATATATAAGGCGTGGATTTTTTTAAGGTATTTTCCAAGGCCTACATAAGGCGTGGATTTTTTAAAGGCATTTTTCAAGGCCTATATAAGGCGTGGATTTTTTAAAGGTATTTTTCAAGGCCTATATAAGGCGTGGATTTTTTTAAAGGTATTTTTCAAGGCCTATATAAGGCGTGGATTTTTTAAAGGCATTTTTCAAGTTCTACATAAGGCGTGGATTTTTAAAAAGATATTTTTCAAGGACTATATAAGGCGTGGATTTTTAAAAAGATATTTTTCAAGGCCTATATAAGGCGTGGATTTTTAAAAAGATATTTTTCAAGGCCTATATAAGGCGTGAATTTTTTAAAGAATATTTTTTCAAGGCCTATATATAAGGCGTGAATTTTTTAAAGAATATTTTTTCAAGGCCTATATAAGGCGTGGATTTTTTAAAGAATATTTTTCCAAGGCCTATAGAAGGCGTGGATTTTTTAAAGAATATTTTTTCAAGGCCTATATAAGGCGTGGATTTTTTAAAGAATATTTTTTCAAGGCCTATATATAAGGCGTGGATATCTTAAAGAATATTTTTTCAAGGCCTATATATAAGGCGTGGATTTTTTAAAGAATATTTTTTAAAGGCCCATATAAGGCGTGGATTTTTTAATGAATATTTTTTTCAAGGCCTACATAAGGCGTGGATTTTTTAATGAATATTTTTTTCAAGGCCTACATAAGGCGTGGATTTTTTAATGAATATTTTTTTCAAGGCCAATATAAGGCGTGGATTTTTTAAAGAATATTTTTTCAAAGCCTATATAAGGCGTGGATTTTTTAAAGAATATTTTTTCAAGGCCTATATATAAGGCGTGGATTTTTTAAAAGAATATCTTTTCAAGGCCTATATATAAGGCGTGGATTTTTTAAAAGAATATTTTTTCAAGGCCTATATAAGGAGTGGATTTTTTAAAGAATATTTATTTCAAGGCCTATATAAGGAGTGGATTTTTTAAAGAATATTTTTTTTCAAGGCCTACATAAGGCGTGGATTTTTTAATGAATATTTTTTTCAAGGCCTACATAAGGCGTGGATTTTTTAATGAATATTTTGTTTCAAGGCCTACATAAGGCGTGGTTTTTTAATGAATATTTTTTTCAAGGCCTACATAAGGCGTGGATTTTTTAATGAATATTTTTTGAAGAGCCTCTACATTTCATTTGTAGAATGCCGCATGAAAAGGAATTCAAAATCTTTAATTAAGCGTACATCCGATATTTTGCACCATCATATAGCTGCAACATTTAATTAATCACTGCAGCAAAAAGCTAACCTCCCCTTTTTTCTAATATTAATGATTGGATAAAGATGAATGCCTTACGGTGAAATTCCTGGGCCACGGCTAGCCATTAAATTAGAAAAAAAAAAAACGGTCACCACACTCACGCGTATGTACATTGAAAAATGTGAACAAATAAGACCGGGCGGATAGAAGAACGGTTCTATGGGCGGTTGGTAGGAAGGAGGGTCGATCGCCCAACCGTTCTTACGTTCTAGCAAATGAATTCTCTATTACTATTCGGTTATATTGGCAATGGATCATGTTATTTTGCGGCACTTCTAGCCACACGCTGATGGCCATCAAATGTACAAATATGTATTTTGTTGCGGAATGGTGGTGCGCGGCAAACAAATAACAACAACTATGTGACGTTGTCGATCTTGGTGTTGTTGTCGTTGTTTGAGATTGTACTTTGGTGTTTGTTGTTGCGGTTAACCGCTTACCGCATTCTGTTGCATACAACAACCATTGGATGGCGACAATAACACAACACCATCGACAGCATGGCGATGACGTTCTTTTGAAAATGAAAAATAATCTTTGACAATTGCACGGTTCGCCAAACAGTGACTAATCGATTTTTATTTCTATTTCTAATTTTTTTGTGTTCATGAACAACATTCCGATTGCCTGCAGTTGCCTGCAAACAATTGTCGCCATGTTGTTAACAACACTCCCCATTGGGGAGAATTCTATTTTTTGATGTTGGCTAAAAAGACGGATTTTTGGGAGGGAAATGGGGAGAAAAAATATTTGTGTAAATATTTTCACAGCTATTGGCGTGAAGTTTTTAAATAGTTCGAACAAGAATTATCTTATGATTTGTCCATATAAAGCAGGTAAAATTGATTTTTTAAGAGTCCACTAATGTGAATGCGGATTACTTGAAAGTTTTTTTTTTGAAAGTTTTTTTTTCACTTCTAACTCTCATATTCCTTTTTTTAATCCTTTCCTCTATCTCTAATATTTCCTTCATATGCAAAAATTATAGTTCATTATTTATTGGTTGGCGCCTATTTTCTCCAAAAAAATTGGCAATTTAACAATCCTGTAATTTCCTCCATTTGCCTGCCACCACAAAAATCAATCTATTTCATGGCGATTTCTATTAAAGGAAGACAATTTGCCAACCAAATTACTCATAAAGGTATTCCACCAATACCACCAATCAAACACAAAAATTACGGAAATAAAAAATAATGACTTCTTTTGAAGTCAGAACACACAAAAAGTTGCCTCTGTTCTTTCTTTCATCTTATTTCCAAGTTTTCTTTTTCCTTTTGCTCCTCATCAAAATAATTCTAAGCTATTTCGTTGTTTGCCTTAATGATGTACAAGATATTTCATCTTCATCTACTTGAGCTTCTACTACTTCTAGGAACCAACCTATCTACCTACTAATAAGATCATCATAAAGAACACAATTTCCATGTAAAGAAGGAAAATAATGAGATTTTTGTTTCCCTTTCATCTTTTTTACAAACACACAAACACACACATACACTTGCATACATACGTATACAATTATGGCGTGAATGTGTAAACAGAAAAAAGAAAAAAACCATTTCTAGGATATGGCCAAGAAGAAAATTATAAACCGTACACAATCTGAAGTTGTTTAACCCTTTCGAAGTTATAGACAAAAAATTGAAGTTGGTTGTTGTTGTTCTTCGTCACAAGCAGCCAAAGCTAGTTGTTTTTGTTGTCGTGGCATTATTTTCTCTAAATAAAGAAAACTACTGGAATTTGTTTGTCTGCTGCTCCCTAATAAGGATGTTAATGATTTTCTTTTGCACTTCCCAGTTGTGGTGGTGGTGGAGATTTCAATTGATTCTTAAAGATACTCCATATTGATAGGTATAAAAATATAAGCTTAAAGGAATAGGCACCAACAGGGTTGCCATAATCCTAAGAATTGGTTTACTAATTAGAAGTAAATATTTTTTTAAAATATTTTTAAAAAATCCACGCCAATATTGTAAAGCCCAAATAATATTTTTAAACCAGTGAGCGGAGCAGTATAGTCGGCCGACCATACGATACCCAACACAACTACCACGTAACTCTAACTTTCTGCGGATTTTTGTTCCGAGCCTGGGCAATATTTCTTGATATTTACACCCTCTTGTCCATTAGAGTTCAACAGCACCTCTTGCTTACAATGACATATTTTCCGAATATCAGATCATCGATCATCGCCCAAACGAAATGGCTAAAGCTAGAAGCTTGAAATTTTGAGTGTGGGTTGTTGTTGGTGTGTAGGCGTGAGATAAGGCTGGGTTTTTGGAGATTCGTACTAGAAGGGTACGAAAAGTACTAAAATGTACCAAATATGGTATTAGGCGAACGGGAAGAGCTGGAATTCTGAAATTTGGAATGTGGGTCACTGATGGAAAGTTAGAAAGATGTAGAAAAGGGTTTCTGGAAATTCGACCCATAAGTGTACTAAAAGTACTTAATTTAGTTCTAATTCTGCATATATTGAACATATATAGCTAAAATCTTGACATTTTATATAGAATACAGGTTGGGAAGTGGTGTTGATGTATAGAAATGGTTTAAGATTTTCGTACTTATGTTTTT